GGGGGAGGTAGCCCGCCAGGGCGGGGAGAGCGAGAGTGAGAGGCGGGGAGGGGGGCGTGTGCGTGCACCACGCCACCCCCCAAAGTCTTCAGGGAACAAACTTTTCAGGGGGGGGGAGAGGTGGTAGAAGGCGGCTGCGTTCTGATGACTCACCGGTTTCCTGGCAGGCCAACTGGGGCACTGCTGCTGCTCCAGCTTCTTCCTCCTCGTCCTCCTCCTGCTGCCACTTCTTCTTGCTCCCTTGCCCGTCTCTCCGCGACCGCCTCCCCCCCCTTTTTGGGGAGGGGAAGGAAGGTGAGAATAAGATGCAGGACGACTGTGGGGGAAGAGGAGCGGTCGCGCATCCTTGGGCGCACGTGGTCTAGAGGGAGAAACGAAAGAGGCAGCGGCGGCAGTCAACCGGTCAGGCTTTTTGGCGGGGGTTGGGGGGCTTTGGTGGGGGGAGAACAGGTCCTGCTAGCGCCCCTAAGGGCCGGCCCGCGATCTAGGCGAGTGCCTAGTTTGCCTAGCAGGTGAGCCGGCCCTGGGAAGGAGTTTGTAAGCTGCTCTGAGACTCCGAGTGAAGGGCAAGGTATAAATCCAATCTCATCTCCTCCGCGAGAGGAACTGGTTGGCCACTGAGTGAGCCAGGATGCTGGACGAGATGGACCACTGGTCTGCTCCAGCAGGGCTCTTCTTCTGTCCCTACAGAGTGGGCAGTCCTACCAGAGCTCCCTATGCTGTGTTGACCTAAGCATGTCTTTCTTGGCCTGGCTGACAGCAGATGTGGACTAAACTGGAAAGAAAAGATGCTGCCATGGGGCAGGGAGAAAGAGGCATGGTCCAGCCATCCTTGCTCATGCACTCCTTTTCATGCTGGACATGCACACATGGAGTTTTATACAGGAGAGATTGGATTTATACCCCGCCCTTCACTATCCGAAGGTGTCTCAGAGCAGCTTACAATCTCCTTTCCCTTCCCCTCCCCACAACAGAGACACCCTGTGAGGGAGGTGGGGCTGAGAGAGCTCCCTTGAGAACTGCCCTTGAGAGAACAGCTCTGAGGGAACTTGTGACTGGCCCAAGGTCACACCAGCAGCTGCGTGTGGAGGAGTGGGGAATGAATCAAACCCGGTTCTCCCAGATAAGAGTCCGCGCTCCTAACCGCTACACCAAACTGGCTCTCCGCTAACCACTACACACCAGACTGGTATTCCCTGAAGGCCTCCCATCCAAGTACTTGCCGGGGTCGTCCCTGCTTCGCTTCTGAGATCTGATGAGATCGGGCTTGCCTGGGCTACCCGGGTCAGGGCTACGACACACGATTCAGGAAGCTAAACAGCAAAATCCTTCCCCCCTTTCAAATAAGGGTGGATTTATTTAGACACTGTGATGCCTAAATAAAGTTTTCTTCCCCTATGACGATGAACCTTTTGGCATCCGATACTGTTTATTTTAAGATGTTAACTACTTTTTTTTCCTTTGCTGTCAAATCAGAGCCAACTTATGGTGACCCCAGAGGGTTTTCAAGGCCAGAGAGGTTCAGAGGTGACCAGTGTTCCCTCTAAGCTGAGTGAGTGTGAGCTAGCTCACGGTTTTTTAGCCTCCAGCTCACAGAGGTTTGTCTTAGCTCAGGAAGGAGGGCTCCAGAGCAAACTCATTTATGCAGTAGCCAAATCGCTCGCTCACAACTTTAAGGCCAGTAGCTCACAAAGTAGGATTTCTGCTCACAGGACTCCACATCTTAGAGAGAACATTGGAGGTGACTTGAGATGGCCTGCCTCTGTACATCAGCCCTGGACTTCCTTGGTGGTGTCCTGTCCAGGGACTAACAAGGGCCATGACTGACAGCTCAGGGTCGGGAAATACCTGGAGATTTTGGGGGTGGAGCCTGGGGAGGGCGGGGTTTGGGGAGGGGAGGGACCTCAGCAGGGTATAAGACCATAGAATCCACCCTCCAAACTGCCATTTTCTCCAGGGGGGAGGGACAGTTCTTGCCCATTTGGAAGTCAATTTGTAATAGCAGGAGATCTCTAGGTGCCACCTAGAGGCTGGCAACTCCAACCAGGGCCGACCCTGCTTAGCTTCCGAGATCTGACGGGATTGGGCTCGCCTGGGTTATTTAGACCAGGGCAAGAAATCAGCAGAGGTGGCTTGCCATTGCTTGGCTCTGCACGACCACGGCTGACCCTGCTTAGCTTCCGAGATCTGACGGGATTGGGCTCGCCTGGGTTATTTAGACCAGAGCAAGAGATCAGCGGAGGTGGCTTGCCATTGCCTGGCTCTGCACGGCCACGGCCAATCCTGCTTAGCTTCCGAGATCTGACGGGATTGGGCTCACCTGGGTTATTTAGACCAGGGCAAGAGATCAGCAGAGGTGGTTTGCCATTGCCTGGCTCTGCACGGCCACGGCCAATCCTGCTTCGCTTCCGAGATCTGATGAGATCAGGGTAGCCTTAGCCTTCCAGATCAATGCTAACTTCTTTAAAAACACTCTGTTATGTATTGGGCTGGAATATCCCAGGTCTGTCCATAAGAGGCAGGCTGAGCTTGGAGCTCTGGAACAACAGACCACCAGGATTCTAGAGGCAACCAATGGGGAGGCAACGTTATGCAAATAGAGGTAACCAATGAGGAGACAATGTTATGTAAATAGCCTGTCCTTGGGAGTGGGGTGTGTTTGGGTGTGGGTTTTGCAGGCTACTTGTCATGATCTGGGCTGTGCCACCAGAGGCCTACTGGGCCCTGGGAGCCTGGCTAGCAGTAGGGGAGGCTGGGCCTACAAATCCCAGAAGGCCATGGGAAGTTTTGGAGCCAATTTTGACCAATACAGAAGAAGAGGGCTGGGGAATATCAGAACTGGTACAAGAGGGAAAGCTGTTCTTCTTCCCAGGAAACAGAGCCAGAAGAGACCCTCATCCTGAGGGAAAGGTGAGCAGTCTAAGGCCACTTGAGATAGTGAGCTAGGGACAGTATATATTTAGATGCGTTAGGGCATTTGATGTCTTTTCTTTTATCCACTTACTGTTATTATTCTGCACCTTGTTGTTTGACCTCCTATAAAATAAACTATTTTCCTTGTTGTACTCTGCCTGGTCCTCACACCTGTTATTTGGCCAAAAGGGAGGTCTGAAGGTCTTGGGAGGGTGCTCTGGGCCTTCTCAAGGGAGCCTGGAACCAGAGTGGTGGCAGCGTCAGGTTGCAACCCACCTGAGCCGTGACACCCCACCTGAGCCGTGACACTTCTAAAACAGGGCTGTTGCCCTGGAGTCTTCAGTCTTGTTCCTGACATCACTAAATGAAGCAGAGCTGTTCACTGCGATGCGTCTTGAACCCAGTATTTAACATGCTCTTAAAAGTTTCTACTTTCCTAGAAAACAAAAGATGGATAAAGTCGGTGACCTTTTTAGGAGATGTCTCCCCCCCCCGCCCCCATGTTCATCGAGTAACGTACTCACAAAACAAGGAGGAGAAGTTTACGCTTAACGTTTTTTAAATGCCGTGAATTAGAACGGTTACAAAATAAGGAAGGGGTCAGTGCACAGACGGAGGGCTGCTGGCCAACTGCCTCCGCAAAGGATGGAGGTTGATCAGCTTCATATACGGTCTCGAAAGGACGTCGGCGATCTTCGCCTGCAGGAGCCGCTCGGCTTCCAGGGCCGATTCGTACTCGCGGCGCTCCTCTTCCTTTTCGAAATCCCGGGCTTTCTTGACGTGCTCTATCTGGCCTTGGAGGTCTTCCTGGTATTCCTTTGCTTGCCGCAGGCGCCTGGCAGGAATGTCAGAAAAGAGAACCCGTGTCAACGGAAGGAGCCAGATTCTATGAACGCCAAATAGGTGGAGGTCACGGAACTGGTCCCTCTCCGTGTAGCCTCCTGGGCTTCAGAAGGAGAGTGAGGTGGGGCAAAGGGGGAAAGGCTGAAGGAAGAAAGGGTTCATCAGAAGAAGAAGAGATTGGATTTATACCCCACGCACCCTTCACTCCCCAAAGGAGTCTCAGAGCAACTTACAATCTCCTTTCCCCTCCCCACCACAGACAACCCATGAGGCAGGTGGGGCTGAGAGAGCTCTCTCGAGAACTGCCCTTGAGAGAACAGCTCTGAAATAACGTGACTGACCCAAGGTCGCCAGTCAGAAATGAAAAAAATATATACAGATGCCCTTTCTGACTGGCTTGGGACTGTGTGTTATTTCTGTGGATTGACCCAAGGTCGTGCCAGCAGCTGCAAGTGGAGGAGTGGGGAATCAAACCTGGTTCTCCCAGATTAGAGTCCGTGCTCCTGACCACTACACCAAACTGGCTCTCAAGAGAACTGGGTGGTGCAAAGTGCCATGAAGTCGCAGCTGGCTTAAGGGTTTTCAAGGCAAGAAATGCTCGGAGGCGGTTGGCCGTTGCCTGCCTCCGCATCACAGCCCTGGCATACCTTGGAGGTCTCCCATCTGAAGACTAGCCAGGGCTGACCCTGCTTAGTTTCCGAGGGTCTGAAAAGATCGGGCTCGCCCAGGCCATCCGGGTCAGGTCCAAGATAAAATTACCTAGCATATTTATCCGCTTCTAGACGGTTATATTCTTGCATGGCAGCATTTAACAATGCCTTGTCTGTAAGAAGGTCCTCCTGCTCCTGGGCATTTCTCTGCACTGGGAAAGAGAGAGGGAAGAGTGGGGTCAGGAGACTCATGCAGAAAGGGGATCGAAGTCACCTCAACGCAGCTTGTTGGAGTTTCAAGTTGCTACACTTCAGTCATTACAGAGTTAAGTGTTGTTTGTCAGGAAACAGGGTGTAGCTTTTGTATTGGTCAACCAACAACTTGTTTGTGTAAATGCTGTGATCTAGCATTAATGTATTCACAAGGTTTTATGGCCCTTTGTGTGAAGCACAGGAAGCGCTCTCTTGTAGCCGCTGGGTAGATAGGAAGATGTAGCCGTTAGCAAGTAGAGCTGAAAGTAACTGTAAGCATGTAATCTTGTGTTTTATTTCTTTTTATCCAAAGTACCCTACCCATGATTTGTTTTGTAGTAAAGATATTTTCTTTTAACTAATGTGACTCTTGTGTTTGCAAAACGACCATCGATCTCGAATCTCAGAATCCCTAACACGGCTGCAAGCGGTGCCATCCTTGTTCCTGCAGCTGTTTTAGACCCGAGAGGTCTTCGGTGCAGCAGTTCACTTATTTCACCCAACTGGGGATATGTTAAGAGCAGTGGGTGAAGAAAGACAATCCTGGCACGGACTCCATGATGTAGGCATCTCTTACCCACAGGGGCCATACCAAAAGGAAGACAAGGCTGTCCCAAAAGGGTTTATCCCACGTTGCAAAGGAACTTGCAGTCTTCAGAATTACAATGCAAAAAAAATAATTGGGCACTTGCTGCTTGCCTGGCAGAGCAGTTGAAGGTGCAACCCCCCATGCAGACTGCCTGCCAACAGAGGAAAGATACCTGGTTGGGTGGGCCAACTTTCCCATGCAAGTGGGGATAACCATGTGGAGTGCAGGTCTATCAGTGGCTGTTAGCCACAAGGTCTAGATGGAAGACTCTGTCTGTGGCAATGATGCTCTGTATTCGTGGCATTCTGTGTCACACAGTGGTCAAAACCCAGGTACCATAGAAGGTCCACCAGCAGAGCCCGAACTCCAGAAGCCTTCCCACTGTTGCCCCCCCCCCAAGCACCAAGAATACAGAGCATCACTGCCCCCAGACAGAGTGTTTCATCTAGATCTTGTGGCTAATAGCGACTCGTGGACCTCTGCTCTTAAGAACATAAGAGAAGCCATGTGGGACCAGGCCAATGGCCTATCCAGTCCAGCACTCTGTGTCACACAGTGCCCAAAATGCAGGTACCATCAGGAGGTCCACCAGCAGGGCCAGAACTCCATAAGCCCTCCCACCATTGCCTCCCAAGCACCAAGAATACAGAGTCTCACTGCCCCAGACAGAGTGTTCCATCTAGATCTTGTGGCTAATAGCGACTCATGGACCTCTGCTCTTAAGAACATAAGAGGAGCCATGTGGGACCAGGCCAATGGCCCATCCAGTCCAACATTCTGTGTCACACAGTGGCCAAACCCAAGTTGCCATCAAGAGGCCCACCAGCGGGGCCAGCACTCCAGAAGCCCTCCCACTGTTGCCCCCCAAGCACCAAGAAAACAGAGCGTCATTGCCCCAGACAGAGTGCTCCCTCTATGCCTTGTGGCTAATAGCCACTGATGGACCTCTGCTCCATATATTTATCCAGTCCCCTGTTGAAGCTGTCTATGCTTGTAGCTGCCACCACCTATTGTGGCAGTGAATTCTACGTGCTAATTACTCTTTGGGTGAAGAAGTACTTCCTTTGTTCTAAGCTTAAAAGGTAAAGGTTCCCTTGCTCGAAAGCCAGTCGAACCCGACTCTAGGGATGCGGTGCTCATCTCCGTTTCAAAGCCGAAGAGCCAGCGCTGTCCGAAGACGTTTCCGTGGTCATGTGGCCGGCATGACTAAACACCGAGGCGCACGGAACGCTGTTACCTTCCCACCGAAGTGGTACCTATTTATCTACTTGCAATTTCTTGCTTTCGAACTGCTAGGTTGGCAGGAGCTGGAACTAGAGAATGGGAGCTCACTCCGTCATGCTCATTAATTTCATTGAGTGCTCAAGTCACAAGTACTTGTATTGTGATAAAGAGAGAAAAGTGCTTCTTCCTCTACCTTCTCCATCCCATGCATAATTTTGTAAACCTCCATCCTGTCGCCCCCTCAATCGTCATTTCTCCAAGCTACAGAGCCCTAACCTCTTTAAACCTTTCTTCATAGTGAAAGGTGTTCCATCCCCATAAGAACATAAGAGAAACCATCTTAGCTTTTCTATACCCTTAACATTCCTGTGCCGGTTGGAGTCCAGCGTTCCCGGAGAAGAGCGGCCCGTAAATATGCTAAACGGATAAAGAAAGTGTCCTTACGTTTCTCCTGGAGCTGAAGCTGCCTGGTGTCCAGCACCTCCTTCAGTAGGCGCTCACGGGCCTCCTTCCCTCGCTTCTCCCGCTCGGCCCTCTTGGCCCACATCCGGGCCATCTCCTCCTCCCGCAACTTGTCCATCTCTCTTTCCAGGCGTTTCTCCTCCTCCAGCTGCTCCGCCAGGTATGCCCGATACATCTGCTGCTCCTTCAAGAGCTCCTTCTGCAAAGGGCAGACAGCGCAAAGTCGTCCGGGGGAGGGGGACGGGACACCTGAACTAAACCCACAATTTATGGCGGAACCTCCGGCACAGGAAGTCTCGATAGCTTGGGCTGTTGCTAACCCTCCACAGTCTTCACCTCTGAAGCTCTGGTTCAACCTTTCGACTGCCCAAAACGTTCCACGGCAATTCTATTCTGGCATAGGTAGAGACCAGGGACATAGCCAGAAAATTTGGGGTAGTGGGCAGTGTTCCCTCTAAGTTGGGTTAGTGTGAGCTAGCTCACAGTTTTTTTAGCCTCCGGCTCACACAATAGGCAGTGGCCAGGGGCGTAGCCAGAGAATTTTGGGTACTGGGATGTTGGGAAATCGGGGGGGCGGGGAAGTGGGGGGGGGAATCCCATCGACAGACAAGCAGGCAAAGAAGAGAAGGGTCTTTCCTTACTTGTTGGCCGCACAACAGGAGAAGGTGAGCTGGCAGGCTGGCACGGGAATATGCACTCTGTGCTACAGCAGCAGCAGGCCTCGCCCACCCACTACTGTAGCAGAGAGCACATACCTGCTGAGCATTATTCGCATCAGCTGGCCGGCTCTTCTTCTATAGCAGCTACAATGAATGAGTGCAGCCAGCAGGTAAGGGCAGGGTCAGCGGGAGTTGTGGGGCGTGGGTCACGAGCGAGGGGGCACTGCCCCTAAATGCCCCACTGTGGCCAGGGGGCTGGTAGTGGCCCCTCTTCCCCAGTGAAAAGGAGCAGGGATCACTGATAGGGATTTGTATCCAAAATCTATGGGGCTCCATCCCTGGCACTGGGGTAGTCAAAGGTTTCCTGGTGTGGGGAAGGACTTCTTTTGCCTGACGTTCTGGACAGCTTCTGCCAGTCAAACCAGACCCTACTGAGCTCAGCAGACCAGGGCTGCCACGCCCCAACTAGGGGCAAGGGATTCCCCATCCCAAATTTTCCTGGAAAGTTAAAAACCTGAAAAACTAACCAGCGTACCCCCACACAAAGATGTCACGTCGAAGGAATACCCAGAAGGCACAGCAGTAGCTCTAGGAATCACCGGCAAAACGACAGAGTTTCTGGTGATTCCCAGAGCTACATAGACGTGTAAAACTGGGAAGCCTTGCTGTTGACGTGTGGCATATGCAAATAAGGTATGCTAATGAGCTCCTGCACCTCTTCTTCTACGAAATGACCCCTGCCCAGAAGGCACAGCAGTAGCTCTAGGAATCACCGGCAAAACGACAGAGTTTCTGGTGATTCCCAGAGCTACATAGACGTGTAAAACTGGGAAGCCTTGCTGTTGACCAAGCTGGGATCCAAACGCACCACCCAACCATGGGTCAAGAATCAGGTGGCCAGACGCAAAACCCTCCGCGGCCTTACTTTCCGCCTCTTTTGCTCTTCCGTGTCCTCCTGGGCTTGCTGCAGGATGTGATCCAGGACCTTCATGTCCAGCGCCAGCTCCTCCTGCCTGGCCTGGCCGAGGCGCTTCATCTTCTCCCTCGCGGAAGCCAGCAGCATCTCCCCGCACTCCCGCAGCTTCCGCCGCCTCTCGATCTCGGCACGCTCGTCCTCCAGTTTAAACAGCTGCCGTTCCTCTTCCTGCAGAAGTGGCGAGGGGAGCCGTCAACTCGTCGGTTCCTTCCCTCCAGCCAACCCTTCTTATTTATTTATTTATTTTTACATTTGTATCCCGCCCTCCCCAATGGGCTCAGGGCGGCTAACAGAGGCAAGGTCGTTAGCCTTGCCATAGATAAAAACATATAAAAAAAATAATAAAAACATCAATACTAAAACCACAGTACTCTATCCAATTATTAGTATCCTAGATCGAAGATGGTATCACCGCAGTTCCAGATGGTACTTCCATGGCGTGCATATCCAGTGGCGACGGCTTATCAGATCTTCTGTATTTTCTAGGTTCTTCCTCGGGCCTCGTCGATGCATCCATTAAGATGTCTTGACGGAGGTGATATAGTAGGGCGGCGGCTCCTACTCAAAGGCCTGGCGGAAGAGCTCCGTCTTACAGGCCCTGCGAAACTGCACAAGGTCCCGCAGGGCCCGGATCTCCCTAGGAAGCTCGTTCCACCAGGTAGGAGCCGCCACCGAAAAAGCCCTGGCCCTGGTCACAGCTAGTTTGGCATCCTTGGGGCCCGGGATGACCAACAAATTCTTTCCTCTCTGTGACCTCGGTCTCTCCTAGCTAAAACGCCACCCTCTCCTTTGCTTTGACAGTAGGGGCTTCCTTATCAACAGAGAACGGGTTGGGTCCAAGCATCCTCCAAGCAGGCTTCCCCCAGCCCAGGGAGCCTCCCTTCAACCTAGGTGGCTCTTCCTCCAACAGAGGAAGCCTCCATAGATTGGAGGAAGGCGTGATCTTTTGAGTAGGGGTGCCGAGCCCCTGGTCGGGACAGGGGACTCTCTACCCCGAGCTCCTGTTGCCTGTTGCTGTTCCAGCTGCTGGTGATAGGGGACATTAAAAAAAACAAACTAATTGGCATTGGGCGAGCAGGATGATGTCACCTTCAGGGGAAATTCATATGTGACAGTACTTCTAGGAATTGCTGGAAAACTCTATGGTTTACCATAGAGTTTCTGGCAGTTCCTACAGCAACTGCTGTGGCTTCCATGTTGGCCCCAGAAATGACACCATCATCATACTATTGATGCTGCCCCCCCAATGTCCCTGCCCCCAATCCTCCTGTCGGGTGCCAGGCTGAGCAAATACTTCAAATGCTTCAAGAGACCAATCATGTCCCCCCTCAACCTCCTCTTCTCCAGACTAAACATTCCCAAGTCCCTCAGCCTTTCCTCCTCCTTCTATGCTCAGTCACGGGATGTTGAGTCACACAGACCCGCACCCCGGCACAACTTCCTTTGCCTGATGGAGGCCGTTTTGCTCACGCTTGGCGTCTCTCTGGTTGCAGCCGGCAAGGAATTTCACCCTAGGCCAGATTAACATAAGAACATAAGAGATGCCAATGTTGGATCAGGCCAAAGGCCCATCCAGTCCAACACTCTGTGTCACACAATGGCCAGAAATACCAGGTGACATCAGGAGGTCCACCAGTGGGGCCAGGACCTTAGAAGCCCTCCCCCTGTTGACCCCCCCCAAGCACCAAGATGACAGAGCCTCACTTGCCCCGGAGCCCCTATCTATACCTTGTGGCTAATAGCCACTGATGGACCTCTGCTCCGTATGTTTATCTAATTCCCTTTTGAAGCTGTCCATGCTTGCAGCCGCTAGTGAACCTGGGATGTGTGGGCGTCATTTATAACTTGGCTCACTCGCGTGAGCCACACAAAGCATTCTGTTCTGTATGTTCCATGGTTTGCAGCCTGGATTACAAAGGCTAGAGGGTGGGGGCAAAACAGATGGTTTTGCCCTCAGTCAGGGAGCTGAAACTCGGGGGCCTCTTAAGTTTTGATTTCCTTTCTGTATGTTCCATGGTTTGCAGCCTGGACTACAACGGCTGGAGGGTGGGGGCAAAACAGATGGGTCTTGCCCTCAGTCAGGGAGCTGAACCTGGGGGGCCTCTTAAGTTTTGCTTTCCGCCCTTCCCGACCCCGTGATTCCACCTGGCACGAGGTCTGCCCACGGGGCTCTCCTGGACACAGAGGCAAAGCTTGCTCTCATTGCGAGGGAAGGCCTGCGTGCAACAGCAGATGAGGAACCAGGTACGTTACCATATACTTGGCCTCCTCTTCCTTGAGCCGCCTCTCCTCCTGCCTCTGCGCTTCCGCCACTGCCCTCTGGGTGTTCAGCATGTTCACCATCTCAGAATTCCGCGCCTGTCGGTTCTGCTCCTCCTTTGCGGCTCGCTGCTCCTTGGCCAGCCGGTCCTCCTCCCAGAGAGCCAAGTAGGTGGCCTCCTCCTGCTCTCTCTGCTTCTTCAGCTCCTCCTGCAAGGCCAGCTGGGCCAGGCGATCCTCGCAGACCTCCAGGAGGTGCTTCTTGCTCCACTGCGTTCGGAGCTCTTCGCAATCCGCTCTGAAGAAGAAGAAGAAGAAGAAAAATAGGAGGAGATTGGATTTATATCCCGCCCTTCACTACCCAAAGGTGTCTCAGAGCTGCTTACAAACTCCTTTCCCTTCCCCCTCCCCCACAACAGACACCCTGTGAGGTAGGCGGGGCTGAGAGAGCTCTTGACAGAAACTGCTCTTTTTCAAGAACAGCTCTGACAGAACTATGGCTTGCCCAAGGTAATTCAGCAGGTGCAAGTGGAGGAGTGGGGAATCAAACCTGGTTCTCCCAGGATCAGAAATGCTGTTGGGGACATTTAAATCCACAGCCTGCAGACAAGATCTGCTTCCCCAGCAATGCTTTCTGTGCCCCCAATGGCAGAGGCGAGGTGGGTGGTAGCCAGAGACACGGCCTTCTCAGTGGGGGCACCTTACTTTTGGAATGACCTCCCCATTGAGGTTCACCTGGAGATTTGGGGATGGAGCCTGGGGAGGACAGGGACCTCAGTGGGGTACAATGCCGTAGAGCCCACCCTTCAAAGCATCCGTTTCCTCCAGGGGAACTGATCTTTGTGGTCTGGAGATGAGCTGTAATTCCGGGGGATCCCCAGGTCCCACCTGGAGGCTGGCAT